GTTCCCCCTAACTTCCTCTCCCTCAAACCACCCACCCGAGCCAAAAAAAAAAAAAATGAGACGTTGTCTTCGTCAAACCCCATACTATTCTCGTCCTCACCCAAAGTTCTGGATACGCCAACGCATGTTTGTGCAGGTCTACATGAAGTAAAGAAAAAAAAGGAGAGAGATGAATTGAAGGTAACAAAAGTGACAAAGGGTGCCATGCCCTACCACGACTCTATATACTAACAACATGGCCAATAAATTTGTGAACTCTAGATGTTGGACATGTGTCACTCATCCTAATTAATTAGGGTTTCAAAAATCCATCTATTTTGGAAGGGTGCCCAAAGGAAATGGTCCAGCTAAGAGAGAGTTGTGAGTGATGACACCCAATAACAACTAACTTTGTTCATTTATTCCCTTCATCTGCCCTCTATCCAATTCAATGTTTCTCCACCCAAAAATTTCACTCTTTAAATATACCCATCAACTCCCATAAACTAGTTAAATAAAAGCCCACTTTTCTCCATTCTCCTCCCAAGAAAGCCGGAACAGTACAACACTATAGTAAAACATGGCAAAGCCCACCCCACCCTACACAAACTCCTTCCTTAAACTTTGTTACCAATACCTAATAAACCATTTCTTAACTTTTTTGCTTGTCCCGGCGGGGGTCGCCGTCGCCGTGGAGGTCTTGAGACTAGGGCCAGATGAAATCATAACATTTTGGAAATCTTTATCCGGCTTGGACGCCATCAAGGTCTTGTGTTCCCTCTTCGTTGCTCTCATTGTGGCCACTGTTTACTTCATGTCGAAGCCTCGTTCCGTGTATCTTGTCGACTACGCATGCTACAAACCCCCAGTGAGCTTCCGGGTCCCGTTCTCTGCCTTCATGGAACACTCCAGGCTCATTCTTAAGGATAACCCGAAGAGCGTGGAGTTCCAAATGCGCATTCTTGAAAGGTCATTTTACATTCTCTTTAACTTTAATGGGGCTGGTTTGATTTGATTGGGAGTATGGGTGGGGAGGGATTTTGCGGGTATCCATATTGTGCTGACGAATTCGTTGGTTCGAGACGAGATTTGATTTATCTCGTACTAGTATCGATTACAGAACATTAGTACTCCATGGCCCGGGATATATTGGTGTTCGTTTAATTTCTTACCTTGTGACATGGATACCTATGCACAAAAATATATGGAACATGCTAGCTAGCGTACGTACGCGTTCCATGTTTCCATAATTTGCATGTTAATTTAACATGTTGTTATGTAGCATGCTAGCGTGTTACATATATTTTTTATTCTTATGTATGTGCTTTGCGTCTAAGAATCTTTAAAAAAACAATCTCTCTGTTTCATAAAATAATTCTACTTACTTTTCAAGAAAGATATGTACTTGCAGAAATTAATCAAATTATACCTCAATACTTTAATTTTGTAAGAAGTAATTAAGAAGCAACCAATCATATAATCCTCATTAATCAATTTGACTTTATTTGTATGTTTGCATGTTTACATGTAAATATACCCGTTTGAAGAAGAAGAAAATACACTAACGTTAGCGCTAGCGTTTAGAGAATCATTCGGCATTAATTTTAATATTTAGCTTTATTTTGTTTGGAAAAATTAGGTGATCGAGGTACAACAAACTTTAGTATTAACTTTTATGAAGTTTATCTGCCCAATTAAAAAATTATTTATAACTTTAATGTTAATTAATTAGCCAGGAATGAGATTTTGAGACGTACGGGTCCTAATACATAGGCCTCGTTTAGCATCGGCCTTAGGTAATAGCGTTAGCGTTTTGAAAAAACTATCTGATCATAGCCTTAAGCATTAGGGTTTGCAAAATTAATTTGCACAATTAAAATTTATCCAAAACACTAACGTTAATCGAAACTGATGTTCCCTAACAAAGGCATAGTAATTATTAATGCTTTGCCATTAGTAGTTACATATTAATATCAATGTAATACTCTAGAGTACAAGAAACTCTAGCTAGGAATATTTAATCTTTTTTGACATATTAAGATATTACTCCATTTGCCTCATAGTATTTGTCTAATTTTGACGTTTTGTAGTCAATCAAGATCGATCTTTGACTTATAAATAAATAAAAATTACTTGGTATATGAATTAGATAAAATAATATTTTGAAAATATTTTACAAGATAAATCTAGTAAATTATTTGCCTGTCAATAGCTAATATTAATTTAATTTAATTAACTATCAAAATTTATCAATTTTATCTAAAAAAAAGAAGTCAAAACTGTGTAAATGTGTAAATACTCTCCTATGGAGGTAGTATTATTGTTGTGCATGGATTTTATGTCTCAATAACTTCATTTGTTTAGCCAGTGGTTAAGTGTCAATTTGTCATATAATAATGGGTCTTAGAAATGTCAAAAAAATACATACGTTGATATATGCTGTCTTAAATATTTTCATACTCGTGTCAATTATCCTTGCCATGGCCAAGTTTGACTTGGCTAGAAAGTTATGAGAAAGAGTATTTTATTTCCTAACCATAGTGAGGGTATAGTGGGAATGAAGTACCAAAGAAATGAGGTGGATCAAGATCCACACCAAGACCCAAATAAAAAAATAAAAAGAACCAAATATCAGGTGTGATGTTTTGTTTTTGTTGTACATCAAGTTTAATTTATTAGTAATAATAAAAAGGTGGATTGCCTAGACAAAGTAGGGACTATGTGTTTATGATATGGTGCTGTCAAATATAAATGGAATTTAGGGCTAGTCTTTAAGATGAAAGAGACCTGAGTAGCATGGCCAAATACACCAATCAACCAACTATATGTGTGCCCAATTAATTGGGAGCGGTGATTATCATGTCTCATGCTTCAATAAATGATGGGAAAATTACTCTCCCGTCATCAGTATTTTGTTGAAATAACTCGCATGTCCCTCTATTTTTTAAAAATTTCATGGGTTCCTACATTTTGCTGTGAAGACAGAAAGGAGATATTCCGTCAACTATTCCATTATATAACTATTAAAAATATATTTTTCTCATTTTGTCCTTACTCTAGTAATTTAAATTGCCTTTATTTTAATGTATTAGATAAAGAATTTTGATTTTTTTTGAAAAATATTTAAATCGGAAATTGAGAAAACTAAAAAGTGAATTGAAAGGACTTGAGCAGAATGGAAAAAATATACTCCCTCCGTTCCTCAAACTCATTCCCCTTTTTTACTTGTCTCACTAACTCTTTTCCTTATCTATCAAAAAACAACTTTTACCCCTTACTTTTTCATACCTTACCTATTACATCATACCTTTTTACTAATAATCTATCCATCATGTCTTATTTTTACCCATCACATCAAGGTTATTTTTGGAAAGTCAACACTAAAATATCCCTTCTTTAATTTTCCAAAAAGTCCATAACGGAACGACTTTAAGGGACGGAGGGAGTATTTGTTAACGGTCATTAACGATATCACAAACGAAATGTTTCCTTCCAGACGATCTTTACAATAAAATGTAACGGCCCCTGATGTATTTTTGATAATAGAAGGACCTTCGAGTTATTTCAACAAGATTCGCGTCACCCCATTATAATTTTCTAATGAATGATACACATATTGGTGTTTTTAGAAAAAAAATAGTGTGCCAATTAATTGGGAGTGATGATTATCATGGCTCATGCTTCAATAAATGATGGGAAAATTAAGATCAATATTTTGTTGAAATAACTAGAAGATCTCTCTATTATTTAAAAATATCACGGGTCATTACATTTTGTTGTAAAGATGGAAGGAGATATTCCGTCAATTATGCCGTTTTATGACTGTTAAAAAATATATTTTTCTCATTTTGTCCTTACTGTAGTAATTTAAATTGCCTTTATTTTAATATATTTGATAAACAATTTTGATTTTTTTGAAAAATATTTAAATCAGAAATTGAGAAAATTTAATAAAAAAGGAAATGAAGTGAAGAAATAACTAAAAAGTGAAGGCCCTGAGCAGAATAGAAAAATATATTTTTTAACGGTCATAACAAATGAAATGTATCCTCCCGTCTTTACAATAAAATATACTGGTCTTTGATGTTTTTTTATAATAGAGGGACCAACGAGTTATTTCAACAACATTCACCATTGTAATTTTCTAATGAATGATAGAGATATTGGTGTTTTCAAAAGAAAAAACAAAGTGTGATGGTATCAATTTTTGTGTCAAACTTGGTATTAATGTAACATTTTTGGATTTATTATTGTTATCGCGTAACAACAATGAACGTCTCAAATTATTAAGGCCCCTTCATTTTACAGGTCTGGCCTTGGAGAAGAGACTTCTCTCCCTCCGGCGATCCATTACATTCCTCCGACGCCCGACATGGAAGCGGCGAGGGCCGAGGCCGAGACGGTCATCTTCTCCGCAATCGATTCTCTCATGAAGAAAACCGGCTTGAAGCCGAAAGACATCGACATCCTCATTGTCAACTGCAGCCTCTTCTCCCCGACCCCGTCCTTGTCCGCGATGGTGGTCAACAAGTACAAGCTCAGGAGCAACGTCAAGAGCTACAACCTCTCTGGGATGGGGTGTAGCGCCGGGTTGATCTCCATCGACCTGGCACGCGACCTCCTCCAGGTCCACCCCAACTCGCGTGCCCTGGTCGTTAGCACCGAGATCATCACCCCCAACTACTATAGGGGCTCCGAGAGAGCCATGCTCCTCCCAAACTGCCTGTTCAGGATGGGAGGAGCGGCGGTCCTGTTGTCTAACAGGACCAGGGATTCCGGCCGGGCCAAATACAGGCTGATACACGTCATCAGGACCCACAAGGGCTCAGACGACAAGGCGTACCGCTGCGTCTACGAGCAGGAGGACCCGCAGGGGAAGGTGGGGATAAACCTCTCGAAAGACCTGATGGTGATCGCGGGGGAAGCGCTGAAGTCGAACATCACGACCATCGGCCCGCTCGTCCTCCCGGCCTCCGAGCAACTCCTCTTCCTCTTCACCCTCATCGGCCGGAAAATCTTCAACCCCAAGTGGAAGCCCTACATCCCGGACTTCAAGCAGGCGTTCGAGCACTTCTGCATCCACGCGGGCGGCCGCGCCGTGATCGACGAGCTCCAGAAGAACCTCCAGCTTTCGCCGGAGCACGTCGAGGCGTCCCGGATGACACTGCACCGGTTCGGGAACACCTCGTCGTCGTCGCTCTGGTACGAGCTGGCCTACATCGAGGCCAAGGGGAGGATGAGGAGAGGGGAGAGAATATGGCAAATCGCTTTCGGGAGCGGCTTCAAATGTAACAGTGCGGTTTGGAAGTGTAACCGCACTGTTAAAACGCCCGTCTCAGATGGGCCATGGCAAGATTGCATTGACAAGTACCCGGTGCACATCCCCGAAATTGTCAAGCTCTAATTTATATATTGTCACACCATATAATATACGGACTCTAGACGGTCTTCGCCATTATTGTTTCTTATTTTTATTTTTGTTTTCATTTTAGTTACTGTGTTTAATGTCTTGAATTAAGTGTTTGTAATTTGTAATATTGGGGTGTGCGGTGAAAACGTCTGTAAAATTTGTGGGGAGCTGCGGCATTTACTGATGTAAGTCATCAACAGGGTATTATTGCAGTGGCAACGTAACATACAAAGTCTGCATTTTTCTTTTCATTTTTTTTTCTAAATTTTTTTGGGACAATTTCCACCTACTAGATGATAAACTTTTAGTTTTTACCTTAATGTTTGTTTAAGTAACAATAAATAAGTTAAGTCGTGATTGGTGCGGCATAATTGATCTATTTATTTAGCTTTTCCTCGGGTCCTAAGAGAGTGTTTGTGAGTGTGGTGAGTTTTTGAAAAAACAGAAATGCAAAACCAGAAGCAGAAAGTAGTTACTTTAAGCATTAGTAAAATTTACTTTCATAGCACGATTTAAACTTCTAAAGTCACAATCTGTAATCTAAAGCTGATTTGCAAACACTTAAAATTGTGTTTCATTGAAGTAGAAGCTCAAAAGATATTTTCAAACAAACCTCCGAACATCCTCTAAAGCCCAACAGCCAAATTAAATGTTGCAACCAAATGGGTCTTCCAAATTCTCAGACCAAAACTTTCTTGTAGCTATTAATAGTGAAGCAGCACAAATCCCATCAATGCCCTTTGGACAACCCAGAATACCCAGCAGCCTTAATCCTTCACTGCAACCAACCATTAGGCAAAGCCAAACACTATTCCTAAACAAGAACAAAAACCACAAACTTATACTTGATCAGGAAATTAAAAACCCAACTTAGAAACCAAAATCTAAACCTGCAAATCCAAAAACATCCAAGCATTTGCCAAATATACAAACCCAAAAACATACCCCCATTCTAAGTGAAAGGCCAATAGACAAACCTGACTGCAGCAACTCCAAAATTAAAAAAAAGGCAGTTATCTAGCATCAATGGTCAGACCCTGTGTCAAGGAACCAACTTACCCAAAAATTCAAGCTTGTGGTTGAGGCTCATAAAAGGTTTTTATATACTCTAACACGTCCCCTAACGTGCAATTGCGACTTCTTTGAGAATTGCACGTGAAACATTAGTTTTTTTTTAAACTTGGTGGCAATGAGATTCGAACTCATGACTTCTTGGTCAATAAGGCTCCGATACCATGTCCAAGAACCAACTCAACCAAAAGCTAAAGTTTGTGGTTGTGGCTCATGAAAGCTATTTATATACTCTAAGACTGTCCTCAAGCAACTATAAAAAAAAAACCCTTAAACTTTAAGATCAAATCCACAATCAAAGGCCAGACTTGACCTCAAGCAACATCAAGACCCACCTAAGCAACACCAAAAGTCCATAGCCAAACTGAAGACCAAATCACAGATTTTCATAAGCCAAACTGCTCAAATTCACAAGCATGAACAAAGGGGAGTTCCCTTTTGGTCTTTTAAATGCCTGGGTGCTCTTAAACCAGCTTCCAGACTGAGCACAAGAAAAATGTGATCAACTAGTGGCAAAAATTACCAAAAGGGCCAGCTCTTGGCATACTTAACTTAATAATAATGTTTATTTAGTGACAGAAGGAGCAATCATTAGTTACTTTGTCTCTAGTAACCACTAGCATATCACAGAGCAAATATGGTGATGCAATATCGTGATCTTATTAATTCTAAACCAGTTGTACTAAAACCCAAAAAAATCTAAAATACTTATGATTCTTTTAGATAATTTCATATGCACTTCAATTTCAGTATCTGAATGTTATATTTTGTAAGACAAACTCCTAAAATTTGTTGGTGTAAAATCTGTTTTTAGAGCTAAAAGTAGTGATTTCAATGTGGCATATATATGCCCTAAAGTCAGAAGAAATATTTTGAAAAACAAATTGTGAATTGGTCATATTTGCTAACAAAATGACTAAGTCTTAACCTTAACTATGCATTGGCTAAAAAAACACTCTATTGGGCTACTGGCATAAAAGACCATGATTAATAAAATGAAGATGAAGGCTAAAACCAAAGTAAATCAGCAGTATCTCATCTGTATGTGTACGAAGAGGCGTTCTACCGATCGAGTCAAATTTCCTCCTCCTGCATTTGAGATTTTGGCTTGAAATAGAAGAGATTTGCGCCCTACAGAGTTGCTTGGATCGGTGGTGGAGAGAATTGGAGCCTCTCGGTCTCCCCCTTCTATATTTTTGGATTAATCTAGAGTTATAGGGAGAGTGTTTTATTTTAAAAAAGAATCTGTCACTAAAAGTTATAAAAAATACAGTATTAATTGCAATACTACTCCCTATAGGAAGGGCTGTCAATGGATACCCGAAAATCTGATTACCGTCCGCATCCGTATCCGTTTAAAGAGGAAATATCCGCATCCGTTTTAAACGGATATTATCCGTATCCGATTAAGTATATCCGATTATTAAACGGATACGGATTTGGTAATTGCATATCCGATCCGTTTAAAATCCGATCCGAATATGCATCCGCTTAAATAACCGTTTATCCGAATATCCGATCCGTTATATATAGTTTTCCTAATTTTTATGTTTATGTTTTGTTTCTCTATTGGCATTTCAAAGTATAAAACATTTTTATATACAAAATAAATGTGTAGACACATAAAAATATGTGATGACATATAAAAATATGTGTATATGTGTGCTGTATATATCTTTTTATCATATGAAGTTATCGTAGAATATCATTAATCTTGAAAACAAAGAAAATAATTATCTCATAACAAAATATAGTTGATTTAATAATAGTTTGACATTAATCTAATTTAACATTAAAGTATTGTTTAATTTGAATTTAAAAATTGGAAACGGATACGGATATATCCGATATCTGACCGATATCCGACGGATGCAGATACGATTTTGATTTTTAGTATCCGTTAAGATCCGTATCCGAATTCGATATCCGACAAAAATAAACGGAAACGAATTTGGTAATGGCACATCCGATCCGATTAATGTCCGTTTACACCCCTACCTATAAATAACAAATTTAGTGAAAGCCTTTTCAACACATCACAATTGATTCGAAGTTCAAAGTAGTTTTTCTAAGAGTGACGTTGTTGTAGGATACTCCGTATTAGATTGGAGGATGAATGCTGCGAAGCAGTGTTAACACATAATGAGAAGGATAACTTGATAGAGTAAAGTAAATCACGTAGAATGCTTTCAGATCAAAGTTATTTTGGTGTATACCAAAATATTTCAATCGGATAAGACGTTAATTAAGAATAAGCACTAAAATCGGATACCTCCACCATACCTACGAGAATCTATTTATAGAGTCGAAATTGATGATCAGACATAAACGTTCGCGAAGATGCAAACGTTCGCGCGATGAGATAGAAACTGAAAAATGCAAAAATTTGCTTAAGGAAAAAACGTTCGCGCGAAAAGAACATTGCGGTTTTAGGGTCAAATTGATGATTATCCATACATCCAATTTTTTTGACGTTTTGGACTTCGTTCACGAAAATCTGAAGGATTTACATAAAGCCAGGGAAGGGGCTCTGCCTCATCGACTCCGGTCAGGGGCTACCGCCCCTAGACCCCCGCTATGATTTAATTGTAATATCGTTGAACAAGTTTGTACCCCGCACTGCCTAACTCGTTAGACAATGTATAATTTTAACAGTGCCCCTTTCAAGGTGAAAATTTTAAATTTGATTAGAGTTATGCTGATTCAAACATAGATTTGGGCTTTGAAAATTTTACACACGTAAAAACTGATGATTTAAAGGGTGTCACAACACATACGGGGTAGAATTTTGTAAATATAAAAATGGTAAAGAGGGTACATACTATACTTAGAGGATGTTAACCAATACTCTGTATAATTTTACATTTTTAACTTTATTAGCCAAACCGTTCAGGATTCTTCTTAAGTGTAAGTGGAGTATTGTCTCAAATGAAATACTCCGTATATACTTCATTCATCCCACATCATTTCTCTCAAAGTGAATTCAATGTTTACTTCGATTATAAGTTCTGAAAAAATAGATTTTATTATAGTTTCAAGTTAATATAATTAGATTCGTTTTAAGATGCACTTTTGATTTTTCAAATATTTAAACACAATATCGTTCAAAAAAAAATCCATACGGAGTAAAGAGGGAATAATAATAATAATAATAATAATAATAATAATAATAATAATAATAATAATAATAATAATGTATAACAACAAGAATTAGAATTAGAATAATATAAAAATACACTAAAATAAATTTTAAAAAAGTTTTTTTAGGTTTTTCAATTTTTTGAAATTTTTCTAGTTTCTTCCGATTTCTTATAGTTTTTTCCAGTTTGTTCATGTTCCTTCCAGTTTATTCTAGTTTCTTCTCGTTTTTTCCAATTTCTTACAAGATCCAGCTCTTGTTTTCTAGTCCTAAAGAACAGGCGGTGCAAATTTCACAAACTTTTAAAATTGTTAATTTATTATCAAAGGTAACATAAATAGAACAAATAATATAACGGAGCATATATTGTCCTCATTATTTAAGTGGTTTTAAATTAATGAAATCAGTCCCAACAGTAATGTACACTTGAAGATATCAGTCTATCTTTTAATATTCTCACACTTTATAAAATTTTCAACATTGTATGTATCTTACCGTTTTTCAGACTTCTAAATTCTAATGATTATTATTACTACTGTCTTTTCTCCGCGCCTCATTTTCCATTGTTGCAGATTCGAGTCTTCACAAAAATCCAAATCCAATCTATCCTTCCTCTCAATTAATTTTTTACCAACTTCTTTTAGGCATTTCAAGAAATATTCCCTCCTTTTTAAAAAAATAATAATGAATATATGCCTATTATGGTTCATAAGATTTCTATTTAATCTAAATAATTTTACATACTAATTATACACATTCAATTTTTTAATATTTTATTTTAAACTACGGAGTATTAAATTTAAATTGAACAAAATTAAAGTTAATTACGGAGTACATTTTTTCTTGTAAAACATTATCAGAAACTTAAGTTTTTATTAATATACAATGTAATATTTATTTATTTGAAAATCAAAATCCTTCCTTTATAATGCAAAAATCTAGGGAAAAGAAACTGTAGAAGTTTGGCCAAGGTAAAATCAATTAAGATAATTGAAAATAATAGGACTAGTAAAATATCAAAATAGATAGAGCTAGCGTAGAATATACTTGAGATATATGCTCGGTTAGATTAAAAAAAGTAAAGATACTTGTGTCCATTTAGCTCAAATTAAAATATTTCTTGTGACAAATAAAAAAATGAAAGTTAAAAAATTTTACGGCCTTCATATTTTTTCTCAATATAAAATTAGTAATGCCAACAATATCAACTTATAATAACAAAATATACGGTTAAAGGCCAATATACCTTATTCTATGTAACATTGTCACAAAACAATTCAATAGTTCTAATACTCTCTCCGTCCCTAAATAAACTTCCTCTTTCGTTTTTTTGTCCCTAAATAAACTTTTTTTTTCCCTTAAAAACCCCTTTTACCCCTTACCTTTTCATACCCTACCTATCACATCATACCTTTTTACTAATAATCTACCTATCACATCTTACTTTTATACATCACATCAAGGGTATTTTTGGAAAGTCAATACAAAAATATTCCTGCCTTAAATCCTTAAAAAGTCAAAAATGGAAGTTTATTTAGGAAGGGAGGGAGTATATTTTAAGGATAAGAACATGTTACCCCTTTTTTTAGAATAGTAATTATGTTTTGTTTCTATGACCTAGTGGAAAGAATAATGTCCAGTAATGATGGACATTTAGTTGAATAAAAACAATGTTACTCTTATTTTGATAGTATTTTACTTTTATCTAGAGACATATTTTACTCCATATCAAATGACAAGTGAATCTTTTCTTCTTCTTTTTTACAAAAAGACGGATCAATTCTTTTATTATATCAATACATTAAAATCTATAAAATGAACGTGGACGTGAACCATTTATTTTTGCAGAGGGGAAGTACTATTTGTGCATTATAAATAGTGAGCAAATTAAAGCTCTTTCCACCCATATGATCATCTCTTTGGAGAAGCTAATTAATTAATAAGAGACGTGCAGCTAGCTAAGGCAGGCATGGCGGTTTTGATGGTTACATTAACAATTCTCATCATTTCCTCATTCCTCCTCAGACTCTCCTACAAAACCATCTCTTTCTACTGGTTAACCCCCAGACGCATCAAGAAAGCCATGGAAAAACAAGGGGTGCGGGGCCCGGATCCGCGGCCGCTTCTCGGGAACCTCCCCGACGTGGCGGCCCTGGTCGGGAAATCCACCGCCGGCGACATGGGGTCCGTCCACCACGACGTCGTTCCGCGGCTCCTGCCCCACTACGTCGCGTGGTCGGAGACGTACGGCCGGCGGTTTGTGTACTGGAACGGGGTGGAGCCGCGGCTGTGCCTGGCGGAGCCGGACTTGATCCGGGAGCTTTTGTCCCGGCACACCGCCGTCACCGGAAAGTCGTGGATGCAGCGGGAGGGGTCGAAGCACTTCGTCGGCCGGGGGTTACTGATGGCCAACGGCGGCGATTGGTATCAGCAACGCCACATTGTTGCGCCAGCCTTCATGGGTGACAAACTCAAGGTATAATACTAAAAAGAGTAATAAACTTTTGTTTCTTTTTTTATTTGTCAAATTTATTTCCTCTTTTACTTTTTACCTTTTCAAAAATTCATTTTTTAATTAAAATCATACTCTCGTGATCCATACTTTTTTTTCACATTTTACCTATTGCGGTATCCAACGCAATAATTTGATCATTTATATCTCCATTATATTTGTACATAAATAATTTATAAAAATATTATATTTCAAAACTATATTCCAAATTAAATCTATTGATATTAATTTCATATTTTGTAACATAATTCAGTGTACGTACTATTTTCGTTATTTATAGTCAAAGTTTAAAAAATTTGACTAAGAGAATTAAACTGGCCGGAAAAGGAATTTATGAACGAAGGGAATGTCTTTATTCAAGGGGATGTCTTTATTCATATTATGATTTATGAACATAAAAGTCACACCTTATTCACTCATTGTTAATATTTTTATTACATCAAATTTTACTTTAACATAAAATAAGACTAAAATTATATTCCCTCTGTCCCACAAAAAAGTTCTCATTTTGAATAGTATTTAGTCAAATATTTACACGCTTTGACTACAAATTGTGATAAATGTATATTGAATTATGAAATAAATTTTATATAATTGGATTCATCTTAGGATCTAGTTTTGATATCTCAAATTTTTTTAAAATTTTTTTATTTAGATTATATTTAATTTAAAGTCAAAGTGTGCAACAGTTTGACCAATTTATGGTCAAAATGAGAACTTTTTTGTGGGACGGAGGGAGTACGTAACATTATTTTTATTTTCCAGTGCATTTTCTTAGGGACTCTTTGGATATATTGTTAAAGATTAGCGTTAACGTTTTGAAAAAGCTATCTACGAGCAACGTTTAGCGTTAGTATTTTCAAAATAATCTATATCGTTAAAATTTTATCCAAAACACTAACGTTGATTTCTAAAGTTATTTTCAAAGAGACCCTAAACTTGGCTAAGTTTTCGTTTAGTTTTTCCGTAAATACGGAGTAATTGATATGATCAAAAATTGGAATGATATTTGCACACTTTCCAAAATCTATATTCTCTTCAAAATAAATAGATACTCCGTATTTGAAAAAAACCCAAAAGTGATATAATTTGCACACTTGCAAGTGTGAAGTGTATCGCTAATCTATTTTTATTGCACTTTATTTGTTCCCCTCTCCTATATTTTGTAGTCACCATTAAACTCAAAACATTTTTTCTTTTCTTTAGATATATCTTTTCCAAAATATCTAAATTTCAACATTTTTATATCCAATTTATTTAAAAGTTTGTATATAAATAAAAAATAAAATTTATGTATTTAAAAATTACATCAAAATTTATTCAAAACAAAATGTGACGAAAATATTTCTTTCTTTCAATTAATCAAAAAATATATAAATAAATAAAAATTCTTGTAATATTTAAATAATGAAAGGTGACATTTTTTCAGAACAGAGTATTGTGTATATAGTATATAGTATTGTGTATTTATAAAAATATGTAAAGAAAAATACAAAGACACACGCACAATATTTTAATAAATGAGCATGTTATTATTAGCTGTAAACTTGTTAAAATGTGGGCATGAACATTCCCTAGGGCGGAGACCGTGTTATTAGCTGGAATCTTGTGCATTATAGTAGTCTTGTTTGTAGTTTGTACTCCCTATTATTTAAATGGTTTTGTTTTTGGTAATTCCGATGAATATAAACGTATAGTTCTTCTGTCCCGGAAAACATGGAAGTTTTGATTTTGAAGAGGAATTTAAGGGGAATGTATTTTGGTATTGAATTTTCAAAAATGTCCTTTAATGTGATGAGTAAAATTATGATTTGATGGATAGATTATTAGTAAAAAAGTATGATATGATAGGTAGGTTATGAAAAAGTAAGGGGTAAAAATGATTTTTTAATAGAAATGAGAAGTGTTTTTTGGGACGGATGAAAAAAGAAAAGAGAAAGGTTTTCAGGGACGGAGGGAGTATTACCTTTTGATAATTTATTTATATATTACTCGTATAAAAATATAATATTTTTATATTTTTATATTTTGGAAAACATGTATATATTGATATTAAGTTTATACGGAGTATAATACTCCCTCCGTCCCAAAACGTCCGACACGTTTCGAAAAAACTGCGTCCCATAAAGTCCAACACATTTTTATTAAAAAAACCACTTTTATCCCTACTTTTTCATACCCTACCTATCACATCATACTTTTTTCCTAATAATCTACCCATCACATCCAACTTTTACCCATCACATCAAGGTATTTTTGGAAAGTCAATACCAAAATATCTCTCCCTTAATTCCCCAAAAAGTCAATATGTACCAATCTTTTTGGAACGGAGGGAGTATTACATTTTTTTCATATTTTATGGTCCATGTTAAAAATTATTGGCCAAAAAAAGCAAAGAAGAAATTTAATCAAGGATTAATTTGGTCATAATTCGCAAATTCCTTATTTTCTCCTAATAAATACGGAGTACTCTCTACTAGTTATCTTCGTCTTCTATTTAGTTCGATTTTTTCGTGTGAAACTCAGAGATTTTTATTAATCAATTAAATAAAAATCTTATTATTGCATATTACGGAGTAATTTACAAAATGGATTTCACTACAATTATGTTTTAGCTAGAAATCTTTCAAAACACAATTTTTTTGTACTAATATATCATATACCACATCTGTTTCAATGTATTTCTCCAGTTTGACTTTTTACACTTTGAAGTTTAATTACTCTCAATTTCTACTAGAGTCATGCTGTGCAATTTGTATTACATACTCTGTATTAAAACAAAATTACTCCTAATATAATGAAACAAATTTTTAAAAGTTCCCAAAAAGATGAATCAAATAAAATCATATTTATAGCAATATACTTTATGTTTTTTTATTTAATTGAAATTCAAAGTTCATTTTTGTTTGACTTGAAAAATTCAAACAGAATAATACATTGGGACAGAAGAATATATGTATGTAGATTTAACATACTCCGTAACAAATAACGATTCGAATTTGTCTAGTTTGATTAAAAAGTCAAAGTCGATGAATATATTTGTAATAAAAGTTGATTTTTTTATATTTGGAATGGATGATTGCAAGAGTTATGCGGGCTACATGGTGGAATGCACCGGGGAGATGCTTGAAGGGATGGAAAAGGAAGTGGAGAAGGGAAGAGATGAGCTGGACATAGAGAGTTGGATGACTCGGCTGGCCGCCGACATAATATCCCGGACGGAGTTCGGGAGCAGCTACGACAAGGGCAAGCGCATTTTCCATCTCCTCACTCTTCTACAGCGCCTCTCCGCCCAATCTACCCGCCACTTGTGCTTTCCCGGCAGCCGGTATGTAATCATCAATTATTACGAGCAGCGTTTAGCGTTAGCATTGTCAAAGTAATCTGCACTGTTAAAATTTTATCCGAAATACTAACGGCGATCTCTAAAAATATTCCCAAAGAGGACCTCTAAAAATATCCCGACCCAAAGAGGACCTCTATCACTAATAATTTCTGGAGTTATTCTCAAAATGGTCATTTCTGATAAGATATTTTTCTAAACTAATCCTTAATAAGTTTTATCTACTTATGTGATCTTCTATAATTGAGAGTTATACACTAGGTAGTCCTTCGTAAATAATGTTATTATTAATTTAATTTATTGAGGGGATATTTTGGTGTAAGAATAAGAAGGCGTAGAAGTGAGTTGGAATATGATATGTTAAATTTAAAGAAAAAAAACAAGGATAACTGTGCCCATTTAGACCAAAAGAAAAAGTTTTTAGAACAAGCAAAAAGTGAAAGAGAAAATTCTAAGGATTTGAGGAAACATTATCTATTCCGTGCTAATTTCTTCATCCAAAAAAGAATGCCACATTAGGCTGAAATTTTAAGTTTTTTCAATTCATTTTATTTAAAGGTTGGTATAAAATTAAAAAAAGTTTTTATATATGTATATTTGAAAACTACGTCAAAATTTTTACAAAACAAGAAGAAACAAGAATATTTTATTTTATCAAATAACCAATGAAAATATACAAATAAATAAATTTTTCGTGGTTACGTTTTTCATCAATTAGTGAAATGTGACATTTGTTTTGGACGAAAGAAATTTGTTTTTTTCTCAAACTATTAAAAGGGGGGCGGAATTTAAATAATCTTAATTATTTTTTTCAAGGGAATGATCTTAATTAATTGATCGTACTATATACTCCGTATGTGCCCGTAATGTACGAAATTATTGAAATAGCAACAAAAGCTTAGTACTAAATATGGCCCCCTTTTCTTATATAGAAAAACAATTATTTGGACCCCCTTTTTATTTAAAAAAATAATATATGGCCCCCCTTTTTAATTTAAAAAATGGCCCCATTTTTATATTAAAAACTATGTGCCCCCACACCCTCGGAAAATGAATGGTTTGTGCAGATTTGCCACTATAATAGTGGCATTACATTATTATTGTTATCATTATTCAGTGTTATGCGGAATTCGAGAATAATAAATATAAATGAGAAAAACACGACAACAGATTTAACGTGGTTCACCAACGTTGTGTTGGCTAATCCACGGGAAGAGGGGGAACAGTTTTATTTCGGATGGAGAGGCAAAGAACAGAATACAACGTAGGATTTGTGGTAGCACCCATATAAATAGTGATTGGCTAAACCCTAACAAATTTGGGCCCAAAACTACAGAATTAACAGATAATTAATTAGGAGTCCAATACATCAACATTGTGTACCGTCGGGCCGGGAGCGTCTCCAGACCTCGTACTTCCTGCTGTAACGGGTCAGCTTCTAGGCATTACAACATTCACATTTTTTCAATATTATTTTTAACTCAACTAAAAGGTGAAAGAAAGTCATTCTAAGAACAGCTCAAAAGGAAAAAAAAGAATAAACCACAAGGGAGAGGTAAAAGCCGCATTTGGAAACCATGGGTTTACTTGTTTTTTCTAAAAGGTGGTTGGAAGATTATTAGAGTTTGACTTTGAGAATGTTGACAACAAAATTGATTTGAGGTGTGTTTGTTAATTACCTTGGGGAGAAAATATTTTCTTAATTAGATGAATATTTTGCATGGCAAAATGGTTTCCGGGAAAAAAAGATTACTCCCACTCCCTACATTTTCCATGATTTGGTAGGAAGAAAATTACTTTTTCTAAAAACACATTATTTATTGTTAAGATTTCAAAGTTGATATTTAAAAAAATATTTTAGAAAATATTTTTAAACTATTTTAGCAACATGTGGGCGGGCGGCGGCGGAAACCAAGGGTGTCGGCACGGTGCAGAGGAGAAAGGGGTAAGAGCAGATGACACGGATTAGTGAGTGGCAGAGGACAACAAAGTGTGGGTAGGGG